GAGTTGGTTCTCAAATCGATTGTATTTTTTCTCACTTTAGAACTCCGTCATTTATAAACGCTTTGTATTTTTGATCCCGTTCTGTACCATTTGCATTATGAAAAAAACTACACCTAAGAGTAAAAAATAACATCTTGAATAAAGACACTTGTACTCTTCGGATCGGTTTCGCTCCACGGCATTTTCAAAGGGTACTATGATAACTACTCTAACATTAGATTGTTTGAAAAGTTTTCACAAAATCTAATGTGTTTGAAGAATTGAACGCGAAGGTAGTCCACGATGCTGATATTTTTTATAAGACCCTATCCTGCGTTGGTGAAATGGAGCGTTTGAAGAAACTAATGTTCGTGTCTATAATACCATTGGGTAAATTGTACGCTTCCGTCTACTGCTATGATTATATAATTATTGGTGCAAAGTTCCTGAACTGGAAACATTTTTTGATAAAAAGTGATTTAATCGTGGGAGAACCAAGCGGCGGCACAAATTCGAACAATCCAGTTTTGCATCATTGACCTTTTAAATTTTATTTAAGCGGTCATATTTTTGACTCGTAGGTGGTGCTAATTTTGTTGTTCGAAAACTATCTAAACTAAACTAAAAATCACTAAAAAAACTTTTGGTCCTGTCAAATACTTAGTTTTCAGAATAGAAACCTTGTTTGACGGGACAAAACAATTGTTTTTTTGTGATTTTTAGTTTAGTTTAGAAAGTTTTTAATCAACAGAATTAGCACTATTATCTAGGTATAGAATTATAAGGTTTTCCTAGAAAATACTTTGTTTTTTTTTATTTAAAAAGACCTCCCGCATTAGGAATATATCCTGTGACACAAAGAACAATCAGACTCAGAACAACAATGTGTGGATCACAGTGATGTCCGTGGAGATCGAACCCACTACACTCAGCGTAGTAGTAAGGAGCTACGCTATCCGTAGTACGTATGTATATATACTAATTGCTGATCGCGTAGGAGAGCTATGCTTCGGCATAAATGAGTTTCCTCAACCGCAGTGAGAGTGGCTTCACAGAAAAGTAGTTTTTTTGTTGATTTTCAATTATATATATTTCCGAGTGAGTGAGGTTACCGGAGCCAAAACCCCCCCTTCCCATGATGCCGGAGGGAAGGACACAAGGGGTGGCAACACACTTGTGATCCTTGAGTTGCAGGCGATCATGGGCGGTGGTAGTCACTTACCATCAGGTGATCTTTCTGCTTGTTTGCCCTCTACGTCATAAAAAAGTCTAACATTATACTTATTTAAATTATGTTCTTCCTGTCTTAAAGAATTATCATAGATTACGCATTGGATATAAATATGTACATATTAACAAGTGACCTCATTTTGCTCTACCGTGACATAAATAATTTAAATATGATAAGTAAATAAGGATCAATTAAGTAAAAATATATTTACGGTTGCAACAAAATTTGTATTCACTTATGCGAATACTGGGTTACTTATTTGATCTCATGTCAGCATGTCAGTTTTAGTTTACCGATATACCTTATCAAACTGTTATTACAGCGTTGAACGTGTTTTAAATCTTTTTTTGTTCTATTTAAAAACTAAACGAAAATCAAAGATTCCATAAGATAATAAAAAAAATAAGCCTTGGGCATAAAATGATGTTCAATAATTTGTAATATTGATTTTTAATAGTTAAGGATCTGCATGATTAGAAATTGTTTTTCTATGACTCATATTAAAGTGGATTTTATATTTAAGTTTTTGGTTAAGGTTTGGTTTGGTTTGGACGTACGCAGTCGAGTAGAGTTGGATTCGGAAATGCCAGAAGACAAAGAGATAACAAAATCTTTCCTACAACAAGATGAAAACGAAAACTGCAAGGTGCACGCAATGAACCTAGAAATGCAGAATAAATGGTTTACTCTAAAAGAATTTTGTATCCCACCAGCGAATATTCTCATACGATTGGTCACCTAGCCTATTAAAATTTTACCTAGAAAGCAACCTAGTAAGGTGGGCAAAAGCCGATGTGCAATGTGGAAATAGGTACAGCCAGGCACTTTACTACACATTACTGACAGGTTGTAAGGCGCTATTAGACCGGTGTGTCATTATTCACGTTGCCATGATAGGGTATTACAAATCACATGCGAAGGTATAAGTTTATCACTGGTACGAGCGAAAAAGGAATAACAACAAACATAAGAACTAACATAGAGTTTGTTAAGGAAGGCTCAACAAAAAGGGCTTCACAAAAACCGTACTGAATTATAAATACCGCCAGTGACTGGATATTATTAGTGGACATGTATGGACATCATTACAGAATACCGGAGGATATCAATTGTCAATTAATGCAATGTCAATTAATGTGAATAAGTGTAGTACTAGTAGAACTCACGGTGTCGGGGAAACGAAAATCCCTAAAGACGCTAACGCTTTAAAAAGCAACAAGTACTTGGACTTAACCAACGAATTAACTAATGGTTCATCACATCAACAGCATTTAACAGTCCACTGCTGGACATATGCCTCTCCATGGAAAGGAGGTTTTTGCCTACTATACCACGCTAGCCAGACGGGTTGGTATAGAGTTTGTGTCAAGTTTTCCTTCTCCAATAACTAATGGTTATTTCGTTGAATAAGTCAAAGTACTTGAACGAATAGTCAAATCGCATAGCGCGTGCTTCTTTGGTTTTCTGGTAAACAATTCTGTTCCTATTCACCACACTGCCACAGATTGCAAAATAGTGAAAGGAAAGATGTTCCCGGTCATGAGTTTTCAAAAATTAATTTCTCTAGTTACCTATATCAGGGATTTAGCAACTTCATTTTTCTGGAAATATACGCCTTTCTCGTCAGATCCTTGCCAACATGCTTCCATACGTGCATATAAGTTTATATTTCTATTTCATTTTATCGTCAAAATACGTCCAACATTGGTAAAATATGCGTGCTAAAACTTTACCCACCTTTAAAAAAAATGGTCAAAGAACATTACCTGTCTTTTTAATTTATTATTTACGAAACATATGCTATCTGCTGTATTTCTCTGCAAATGAATTGCAGATTTTATGTATTTGTAAATGTATTACAGATTACTTATGTATTAACTTGTATTTATAAAAGTAGGTATTGCTAGGACTGACTGCTGTATATAATTAACACTACTTTTTTTTATAACTGTCAAAGGAATGCTGTTGTGCTGTTTTTTTTGTTCCCTTTACACTTTTTTCTCACCAAATCTGCCCATGAAATTACCTATTTACAGTCTATTTGTCCATCCAAACGTTGCCTGTTAGATTGCTTTTTAGCGATAAGGCCGCCATTTGTACATGGTCATTAACTTGGAATACTATTGTATGTATAATATCCTGAATTGGTGTAAATTGTTAAAAAAGGTACAACTACTTAACATTTTTTTTTCGAAATTGAGTTATGTACAAATTTGGAATCAGGAAAATAAGGCCTTTTTGTCAATTTCAGCCTTTTAATTTTCCCAACTCGACGAATAAAATTACCTTAAACTCAAAAGTTTGCTGCACAGCTATTCATTTATAAAACTTTTTTATTCTAGGAAACGTGTAGACTGACGGTGTTATGCATAAAAGAAAATTATAAACAGAACACTTCAAGAGTTGATAGTAGTAAGAAGTGAAAAATAAAATTATATGTGTACATACGGTTGAAGGTGTACCTTAAGGAAATAAATTTATTAATTGCTGTATGTCTAAACTATATTGTTAATTATTAAATCACCGTTATCAACACTTCTGCGCTGATTGCTCTGCTTGCATATATGGAGTAAAGATACTAAAGGATTGGCCATAGCAATAGTCGAATCACAAACTTACTTCGGTCTTGTATGGTCTTGTAACTTAACTTACTTGACTTAATATTGTAAGTCCCCGAGATGAGGCAGAGGGCGTCCACAGTACTTCTGCCAAGTTTGCTTTGGCTGGCCCTCTTACGTTTTCCTTGCGGGTTTCAATCCAGAACCTGTTTGGCGATATGCTCGTGGTCCCTACGCAGATTGTGGCTTTGTACTAGACGGTAAATTGAACTGGTGGGGGGGGGGGGTAATAAACTGTTAACTGTATATGAGTGATGAATATGTAATAACTGTTAGTTTCTCGCCAACATTATTATTCTTTGAAACAATTCCGTTTCAAGTTAAAAAAAAATATCATTCATTAGCAGAATATTATATTCAGTATGGTCTAGTCATTATATTGGACCTAGTTTTTTTAGTCACCAAGTCCACCAAATCAAAATGTTATAAACGTCATAATAACGGGACCAATTCCCTTTTAATTTTATAAATTTTGATCTTTTTTATTTTTGACATTTTGATACATGGACCATTTGGTAAAATTTACATTTTGACGAATGGACTTTTAAAGGGGTCATTTTGATACCGAGGACGCTGTGATACAGTTTATACTAATTCAGTGGACGTTGTGACAAGGTATTTTCCATCGTAAATTCGAAAAACAAGGACTCCGGCTAGTATTCACCGGCTATAGTCCATCACGTCGTGCGCGACTGTCTTGCGGGGTGACAGACGGTGGCGGGGACGAGGTACTCAAGATGTCAGTGGGTAGTTGGTGGTGTAGCGGGGAAGGTTCTTCTCTTCGTGTGTAGCCGTGTGCTAGAATGACGCGCTACCTCGCCCCCGCCACTGTCTGTCACCACGCGGGACGTTAGCGCACGAGATTGCCGGGTTATAGTATTCCCACGAAAGTACCTATATCGAACTGATTTAGAATGTTTCCTATCTTTGTAATAAAAGCATTACATCCCAAGCCGACTACTGGTATCCTTTTTTCTTATCAACAGTCCGGTATAACGTCATAACCGAACTAATGAGACAAAACAAACCTGAGATGAAGGAAAATGACTAACAAGTTATGTATTGAATGTTTGTTATTTACTTTACTGACAAAATAACATCCAAATAGTTACACCTAACACTAAACGTGGACACTGACAAAACAATACAATAGACTTTACAAACAGTTACAATCACTCTTCCACTTCCTCGTCGAACTCCCCTTCGTCATCTGCCGTCGCTTCTTGATACTGTTGATATTCTGACACCAAATCGTTCATGTTACTCTCCGCTTCAGTAAATTCCATTTCATCCATTCCTTCCCCAGTATACCAATGAAGAAAGGCTTTCCTCCTAAACATTGCTGTAAATTGCTCAGAAATCCTCTTAAATAATTCCTGTATAGCTGTAGTGTTACCAATAAATGTAGCAGACATTTTCAGACCTCGCGGAGGTATATCGCAAACTGCAGTCTTCACATTGTTTGGTATCCATTCGACGAAGTAAGTACTGTTTTTGTTTTGAATATTTAGCATCTGCTCGTCCACCTCTTTCATGGACATGCGACCACGGAATACCGCGGCGACTGTTAGATATCTCCCATGTCGGGGGTCACACGCCGCCATCATGTTCTTTGCATCAAACATTTGCTGAGTCAGCTCTGGAACGGTGAGTGCTCGGTACTGCTGGCTGCCACGTGATGTTAGCGGCGCAAAACCTGGCATAAAGAAGTGTAACCGCGGGAAAGGCACCATGTTTACTGCCAGTTTTCTCAAGTCTGCATTTAACTGTCCGGGGAACCTTAAACATGTGGTTACTCCTGACATTGTTGCTGACACCAAGTGATTCAAGTCTCCGTATGTTGGGGTCGTTAGTTTCAGTGTTCGGAAACAAATATCATACAGGGCTTCGTTGTCTATACAATAAGTCTCATCCGTATTTTCGACCAACTGATGAACAGATAACGTTGCGTTGTACGGTTCTACGACTGTGTCCGATACCTTGGGACTAGGCACTACAGAGAACGTATTCATTATTCTATCCGGATATTCTTCTCTGATCTTTGAGATTAGTAATGTTCCCATACCAGAGCCGGTACCACCTCCTAAAGAATGTGTTAGTTGAAAACCTTGTAAGCAATCGCACCCTTCCGCTTCTTTTCTGACGACGTCGAGGACTGAATCTACTAGTTCTGCACCCTCTGTATAGTGGCCTTTTGCCCAGTTGTTTCCGGCGCCAGACTGGCCAAATACAAAGTTGTCAGGCCGAAAGATTTGACCAAAGGGGCCGGAGCGCACCGAGTCCATGGTGCCAGGTTCAAGATCTACCAGCACGGCACGAGGTACATACTTTCCTCCCGATGCCTCGTTGTAGTAAACATTAATGCGTTCTAGTTGCAGATCAGAGTCACCATTGTAGGCACCCGTAGCGTCGATTCCGTGCTCGTCCGAGATCACCTCCCAGAACTGAAATAAAAAGGTACATAATTTTAAGAATATCATGTATAATACACTATATTAGGGGACAAAACAGGATATGGCATGCGAAAAAATATAAAATCACAAAATAATTGTTTTCAAGAGTAGTAACTGAGGAAGGTTGTTATTAGTTAGAAAACTTTACGGTACGACCCTATGACCTTTAGTGACTATAAACCCTAATAAACCAAACTGCGTGAAACGGATATCAACCTGAGCAGCAGCGTGCTGACCACGTCAAGGGACTTTGGTTCGGCTCGCAACGACTTGATAGAACGTACAAAAGTAAACGGCTCCGTACAGCGTGCAAGCGACTGAAGACTTGCATTCAATCAGTCATCACAGATGGGTTGCAACTGCGCAGCGCAATTGTAATTTTATGACTGTTCTAACGCGCAATTGTTGAGGAGATTTAGTAGATGCAATTCGTAACCGTCAGGCTTTTTGGAATCAAAAACATACTAGGTACAACCCCAAATAGGTAACTAAATTGAATTGCTATCGATTGGTTTTCTGCTGTTTTTCGTAGCTGGAAGTCTTATGCTAGTCGTTGCGACTGAAGTCGTTCGGTATCGCTGGCACGCTGCAAGAGCCTTTATATCATTCTGTCTAGATGTGTGGCACCACAGAACATTCATGGATAGCAGGCATACTTTGATATGCACGCAACTCATACACAGCGACAACGGAAAGAATCGTAGTGGGCCGTAGTTAGACACTTCAAATTTTATAGCTCTCCCAGACTATCTACATAAAAGCTTAGGGTGTTTCTACACTAAGTAGCTGGAGGGGCCAAAGACGCACATCAATCGCGTCAGTAGCATGCTTTTCGCATAGCAAAGATCCTGCGAAAGATCCTGCGAAAGTTCCTAAATATGCGCAAGCTACTTGCATCGTGTAGAAGCATCCTTAGAATCCTAGCTAGTTATCTAGCACCACTCACCTTGGCTCCTATTTGATTTCCGCATTGCCCAGCCTGGATGTGGACGATTTCCCTCATTTTGATTATTCACAAAAAATTTAGCAAACAAAAACGAGTATTATAAAACCACTTGAAATTAATTTAGCATGAAAAATAGTTAAAAAAAAAACTACATACAAAAATAAATTGATTTACTGCATGTGCATTGTACACGAAATTTTCATGAATAATAAACCCACTTCATTATTTTGTCATTACACTTGAGATTTTGTTTCGAAATTTGAAAATTTATCAAATCATTCATATAAATGTACGATGGCCTGCATTTAAATTTGTAAATACTTTTTAATAAAAACCTCCTCCCCACTCTATACTCTATTCTCAACTCACCTACTTTACCTTTATACATGAAATCCTCCTTTCAGTTCTGTGTTTCAATCATCAAGGATCTTTCCACTCTACAAATAATCTTCTTCATATTTTGTTTATAGAACTCTTAACTTAAGTGTAATGCGTTTAATCATTTTACTCATACTTCTACATTCGACGACCCAATGGCGTAGTGGTTTGTGTAACGGACTGCTATTCCAAAGGTCGCGGGTTCGATTCCCGCTCAAGTCAAACATTTGTGTGCATGAACTTTTAATGTTTGATTTGGTCTGGGCGTTTCTATGTATCATATGTATGTATTGCAAGAAAAAACAAGCCTAAATTAGACTAGCAGAGAATGCTTAAGTCCGCAATTGTACAACGCGTCTGTCTTTATCCGCTAACTCCTCGTAAGCCAGTCTAGACATCAGAAATTCTGATGTATTGTCTGACTCAGAATAGTTGTAAGAACTAAAATGGGACACCTTGCACTACATCGACAGATATTTACCATAAATGCGACAGACAACCCGCTTTGCAGAGGATGTCTCAAGGCAGAAAAAATGACCGCTTCTAGAAGCCTGCGAACGAGTCAGCAGCATTCTTGCTTCTGAAAGAAGCTGGGTTGGTTCACCTAGATGACCTCATCCACAAGCATAAAGGACCCTTTTTGAGTCTAAATGGAGAAACCTGAGCCTACTTATACCACACATAACCACACAATACCTATACCAGAATCTTACAAAACCACGCAACGAATTATAATGCGTTCGCTAGTGATCAGTTAGATATTTTTAAGGGAGAATTAAGGGAAATTTAAATATTTGACACAAAGTAATAAAGTTTTTTTTTTCATTTTTTTAAGGCTTACTAGAAACCGAAATTACAAGTATTCCCGTTAATCATTCCAGCTAAGCTAAATTGCTTGTGTTGGGAGTGGGTTCACATCGGTAGTGTACTAGTCAGGATTCGAACCCACGACCTCTTGATCGCAAGTCCAATGCTTTTTATTGTACACATTAATATTAAATAAGTGATAAAAGAAACTAAATGTACAAACCCAAACCTGACTTTACTTCCAGCGAACCCTTAGAGTAAATATAGGATAGTGGAGAACGTAAGCAAAGCCATAAAGTTTGCTTAGGAATAATTAGAAGATAAAAGTATATAATTCAAACAAATACCAACATTCATTTGTATAGCAATATATTATTATATCAAAAATATATATAAATAATGTTTTTACTTAACTAGAAATGAAAATGAAATTTTGCAGTCCAGTCCCAGATTTTTTTTTGCATGGTATTGTGAACCTTAAGAGGTCTTAAAAATTTAATCATCATCATCAACAGCCTTAAATAGTCCACTGCTAGACATAGGCCTCTCCTTAGAAAGAAGGTTTTGGCCTATCACGCTGGCCAGACGGGTATAAGGTTTGTTTCAAGTTTTCTTCCTCTTTGCAGTGCTTTTTTCCTGCGTAGTTTGCTCCCTCGGTCGCCTCTTACGACACCCATGGGATGAATAGGGGTGGTGACATTCCGTACACTAATTCCATCACCACGCGGACAATGTACACGTCCTGGTATATCGTGACAGACTGCACGGATGGCACAGTGGTTTGAGCGGTCACCACGCCGCTTTCTACTTCACTAAGTATTGTGAGTTCGATACCCACATGGGACTACACTTTGCGTGATCCACAAATTGTTGTACTGAGTCTGGGTATTCTTTGTGTCCGTTTCATGTATGTTTGTAAAGTCCCCCGCGACACAGGATATTATATTCCTAATGCGGGAGTTGTCTTTTAAAAAAAACGATTACTTTATAAATATGAGAATTATAAACGGACACTTGAGACGAACTTTTGAGGTGGTGCTATTATTAGCTATTTGATAAACCACATTACATTAATGGCATTAGCCAAGGGCCTCAAAAGATGTCGCGTACGGAACAATAGGTAGTTTTCATACTTTTGAATAATAAATTATAATAATAAACACTTCTGTATATCTGTCAGGCACACTCTTATTAAACACTCACATTTAAGAAAACGGATAAGTTTTTAATTTTGTATTCTCAGGGTAAAAATACAAAAATTCGTGCCTGGTCTGTCCGATTTTTGGGTCAACCTCTTATTCTGATAAATCACTTAATTTATTTATTTTTATTTTATTTTTTAACTTTTTGCACAAGTACATGCATCGGCGGACTTAATGCCTAAGGAATTCTCTGCCAGTCGACCGATTGGGCGGTGCTGAGAAAGAATGAGGTAGGTGCATTTATGGTAAGATACAAACGATAGTGGTTTTGTTAAATATCAACTATCTTGGTGTATACGTCGTAATACCACACACATACACATATACATACATATACATACTCATAAATATACACATACATTCATATATACATACATATACATTCGTAGATACATACATACTTAATCAAGCATACTTATATTATAAATGTGAAAGTGAGCTTGTTTGGTAAAACCGCTAAACCGATTTCGAAAATCCGATTTGTAAAACTACATTTTCAGCAAGTGACATAGGCTATTTTTTTACCGCGATGACTAACATACGGCGGGCGAAGCCGCGGGGAAAACCTAGTATGTATATAAAAGGGTCTTAATCGCTGTCTGTAGTAAAAGCCATCTCTACTAGATGACCATGAATATTAAAATGATTTAAAAAATAGCCATTGTCAATGTATGTACTTACATATACGACAAACATCTTATAGAGAATACAAAACATATGTAAATAGAGTAATATTTTATTTATAAAAGGAACATTCCGTTTCATTTACTAATACAAGATAAATAATGATTCTCTAAAGTAAAAAAAAGTGTGTGTATAAATTCACACAAGGCAGAAGTGAAACCTCCAAAAAAATTATTTTTATTTATTTTTTTATCTCAAAAAACAGAACATAAGGCAGTATTTTTCTAATTTCATGTGAACGTAGTCGCTGGTACTATACTAGTAGTATTAAATAAAAAGATAAAAAAATCGGTTGTCTGTAAAGTCGGTTTACTGACGATAGTTGAACGTGACAACGTCATAAGAAAATACTGATGGAATGGTTGCATTTATCAAAAATGTATTATTGTATACGAGTATCAGCTGTCCACGCGGACGCATCGCTCACTCAAATAGGAGAGAGACAGATGTCGAACGCTGCCGAACGCGGAGGCCGATTGTGCCTCTTTGTCACTCGTTCCGCGCTCTCGCTTACACTTTACACCTTAAATGGAACGCCTCAGAGCGAGGTAACGCCGCATGAGTCATGTTTTTTCGTGCGTGCAGCCGGCTCCATCGAATTATAAGACGTTGTCACGTCAAAAAAATCACACTGTCAAAATATTGTATTAAAAATAATGTTTAATGTATTCTATCTCATTCTCTCGCCGGTTTAATCCTATACATTTATATATTTGTTTCTTTATCGTGACGCATTTTCGTTTCATCGAGTTTCAAATCACAATGATTCTTAACAAGTTTCACTTTAAAAGTATTTAAGTTGGTAAAGTATTCCGTGAAGTAAGAAAAAGTTAACCCTAACTGACTTTGTAATATACTGTAGCATACTACGCCACAATGATTGAATTCAAGAAGTGAATAATAATAACAATTTGACACATCTCACACACGGCAGTCTAATCCCGAACCAGGTAGACACTGTTCTCAGCAGCATCACGACTTGTTTACTTCAGTTATTTTCATACCATAATGTCGTACGGTATTCTACTCAGGAGGAATGCTGCCGACATACAAACTATTTTTATACTGCTAAAGATAGCAATTCGACCACGTTATAATTAAAGCAATCGGTTTTCATTGAGGCAGAGATATCTTATAGTTTTATTTATTTTATATTCCTAATGCGGGAGTTGTCTTTTTAAAAAAGAAAAAGAAAGATTATTCTCTGTAGAGTTTTTATTTTCTTTTTACAGATTGATAAGTAGCAACTTAGCGCTAATTGTATTAAAAATAACAATCAAATTTGCTTAAGAATAAATTTTAATTAATTTTATATTTTAATTCATCAAATAAATAAAAAATCGAACAGTTAAATTATTTTACTCACCCTTAATATCTAAGAACTAAAACTTAATGTTACTAAGGCCTGATTATTTTCACTTTGATGTCATTTGTGCGCTTAATAAAATAAAATAATTGGTTAGAAGAAACGCGTTGCTGAAAATTACAGTAAAAGAAAGAACATCTTACTAAAAAAAACGTCTTAATAATGATATTTTACAATACGTACGCAACTTACAGTATTCGTACACTAGTTTACATAGAAAAACTATAGCTTTTATCTGTCCTCAATACGTGTAAGTAGCTCTGCTATCCCTAGCGTCATCAACAGCCTGTAATAGTCCACTGCTGGACATAGGCCTCTCCTTAGACAGGAGGTTTTGGCATAGCCCTAGCATAGCCACTTACATTTACACCAAATATCTAATTAGATAAGAAACTCATCTTCGTCTTCTGAAGCATTTAAGGTACCCGTACTCTGTAGAATCTTCTGGTTTCCTACAAGCAAAAGAAATAAACAGTATAGACCAAGGACTAATGAGTAATATGGACTCCGTTTTAAATAGCACAAAATATTTAAAAAGGATCAAGAGGGCAGTCATTCCGCTTTCTCCAGATCTTAATAAGCATTAAAATTACCTATTATTAAGTTTTTAAAAGCAATATTTAAAATAAAATGTAAAAATATAGAATGCGCTTATCAAGTTTGCCTTGACTTTTCTCTTACAACTACATCTTCGGAGATATATTGTTTCTGTAGTTTCAGTTTAATCATTTGAAAAAACAATTCAATTGCTTAAAAGAATATTAAGTTTGTGCTAAACTATTTGAAATTGAAAGAACATATTTTATTTCTAAGATACACGACAAACAATTTAAATGAGGATAGACAGAAATAAATTAAAAAATACATATGGCAACCCTGTGCTAAAAAACATGCTGTTTCTAATGTGTCATGTCACATGTCACGCACAATGCGGCAACCCTGGCTACGTGGCATTCACCTTTTTTTTTTTTTTTTTTTTTTTTTACTGGCGCTCACGTGTCCACTCGCACAAGTGTGACTACGCAAGGCAGCCACACTTGCGTCGTGTATCAGAAATTTGGATGGACACTCAGCATACACTGAGATGGGTAGCACCCACCCCAGTACTGATTTTCAGCGCAAATTGCATCGTCATAAAGTATGGCGGAAAGCTACGGGAATTGATAATTCGAATCGTTCTCCGTTGAATGTGCTGCAGAAGGAGTAGCTGAAACTAGGGTGTTCCTAATCAGTACGAAAAGTATTCTATATTCGGTCGAATCCGCCTTAGGAAATCGCAGACGGTGGACCGGAAAGAAATACTGTCGCGATTTGTATAAATGTGACCTTATCGATACTTGATGTTTCTATGCCAAGGAATCTGATGCTGGCTGTGGTAATTAACGAAATGCTGTCAAAGCGAGGAGATACAACAAATATAATTTTTGGCGCGGCAACGTGCAAACGCGTGAGGTGATGCCGAGGTGTGGCTATTATTTGGGCCAATATTAAGATAAAAACGTCATATTACACGTAATAGTGAAAAAGTGTTACAAACCTGCATAAGGAATTATTCCGTATGAGATTCTGACTGTCCGTTACAGTCTGCGGCAACACCAAACCTTTGGTCTCCGGCAATGTCAGACTGATTATGACCATTATGAAAGCCACTACAGGAAATATCAACAAGGGCAAAATCGTCCATACGCGTTCCTGCAATTTTTTTTAATTTATTTATAAATTCGGTAACATTTGTATGTGCTGTCTTATTTATTATTTCAGTAAAAATATGTTCTAATTACGAATAACAATAAATAAATTGTAACATCAATAAACCGTTTCTAAATTAACAATATTTGGAAAAACACAATGCTTCGAAAATTTAACGATACCTTTCTATAACCACCTGTATATGCCATCATCAAAACAGTGATCTTACCAAATATGAAATAAAAGGTGTCATGAAAATAGCAGCATATGCGCTCATGTGCAATATCGACAATCCTGTTGCTCGAAGGGGAGTTGGCAGTATTTCTATAGTCCATTGAGTGGTAGATATCGAGCAGAAATTCATGAAGAAACGTCCAATAATCGAAAGAATCCCTCTCGTATGCCCTGATCACGAAAGGAAAATTTATTAGTTAATTAACTTTAACATGCGGCTTCACTGGCGTAAAAGTAATTTTACCATCCTTTTTAGGGTTCCGTACATCAAAAGAAAAAAACGGAAACCTTATAGGATCATTTTGTTGTCCGTCTGTCTGTCAAGACCCTTTATTTCGGGCACGCGTGGAGGTATCGAGTAGAAATTATACCCATAAACTCAGGTCTACAGTCCCTTGAAGCTGTGAAAAAAATCAAACTTCTAAGTTAAAGTAAAAAAAAGATACGATACACATTTCGACACTATCGAGGGAACCAAAATTTATAAGGTAGATCCCGTCCCGTAAATAACATCATCGTATACTACAAGTACAGGGAAAATCTGAAAGCTATACATTTAAAATTTAATCATAAAAAAGTATAAGCTTTATTTGAAGTACGTAATTAATCATCGAGGTACAATTTCACTTATAAACTATAATTAATTATAGGTTTTGAAAAGCTCGAAAAACTGCGAGACTCGATTCCTAAACTATTAATAATATATACCTGCAATTTTGTACGGAACCATCGAAACCATCGCAGATGCAGACCCTTGCTACGAGGGTCAGCATCTGCGATGGTGGCGCGTCACGTCAGTCAGTCCAATCCATTACCCCAGACAGGCGCTCATGGAGGTCAGAGATCGTTCTGCGCTCCCCGGTGGTGCGTCTACAGCAGGACAGAAGAGCTCTATTCTCTCCTATTCCTATTCTACCACCTTTTTGGCGAATATCATCTCCTCAGAAAATGAAACATCGGATACCCGCGCTTTTTCACTTTAGACCATGAGCAGAATATGCTCTAGCGAGAGGCTACCAATATTAAGAGCTGCAAATAGTGTGTTTCGGGGTAGTCGGCTACGCAAGAAACCAGCTAAAACTTAGTCCAAAATGTTACAAATTGCGCTGGCCCAAAAGAGAAAGGAGCAGATTGCTATTAATTGTTTCACCATTTATTTATAGAATTGCGTTTGTCAAATGTATTATTGGTTATCGAGATAGAAAAAGTAAATAAATCGATAACGATAACAATACTTTACCTTTAGGTACAAAAGGACAACTCAGTAAGAATGTGCCAGAAATGAACACTAAAGTAGCCACAGAGTTCCTTCTCCCTAATCTGGAAAAACAAAGAAAATCTCTAACGCGGACTATAAAACAAAACAATTCCACAAATTATGTTACAAAACTAAATAATACCATTAACAACATAACTTGTACAAAAATGCACAGGTATCGCAACGTAAAAAGTTGTGAAATCGATTGTAAGTCAAATTGATTACTTCAGTACCTACCTTAGTTAACAAAATTTAAAAATAAACATGTCAATTATTTGTTTAATTTATAAATATTGTAAATACCTGTCAAGAGTGAATGCAATTAGGGTAACAGCCCAAAATTCGCAGACACCAGCAGCAGTCAAAATGGTAAACAAGTTCATCCCATACGAATCCGTCACACGTAGAAGCCCATCAAAAATAATAGCATATCCAAAGTTTAGTAACGCTAAGGCCACCAGTACCTGGCACAGTGGTTTGCTTTTAAAAACTTTTGCAATAGGATATTTCTTCTCGGGCTGGAACTCGTGACAAGACGCCTGTAAAAATAGGAAGCATTTAGTCATTTCAACCACAACATTTATTTTCAGGCCCGAAGTCGAAACATGCCTAGCATGATTTATTTAAGAGCTTACCATGAATTCTTCAATGGCTTGATCAGGCATCTTAGTTCTGTTAACAGATTCAACTGTCTTCAGTATCATCACAGCCTCATTGACGCGACCTTTACTAATCAGCCACCTACAATACAACAAACAATCAATTGTAGTTTGATTTATACTACTACCAATAGTGTCCGTACGTGAGGCACATTATTAAGGCGTATTTTGAAGCAAATGTTCAAAAACGATGCACTGCGAGAATTACTTAAAGTTTAAATGTTGAATACTGCTGAAAGCTTAAGTTTTAAAACAACAATAATGCTTAAAAGTTAAAAATGAGGTAAAAGTAGCTCTATAAATTTAGCTAGCTAGAAGTACAGTATATATTTTCGTCTGTCATTCCACCAGAACTCTAAACAATGGTCGAAATTTGACCGCCATGCGACAGGGTATTGGTAGTTGCTGACAAACAGTCTAAAATGTCTGCATTTCTTCGATGACAAATAATGAGAATTGAGTAGTAATTCTGTAGTACAGTCCAGTAATACAGCAAAACAAAATAGACATAAAATAGATGAATAAAAAAAGGTTTAAAAAAAAGGGGTAAATAAAAAAGAAAAGAATGTCACCACCCCTATTCATCCCGTGGGTGTCGTAAGAGCCGACAAACTAAGGGAACAAACTACGCAGGACAACAGCACTGCAAAGAGAAGAAAAACTTAAAACAAACCATATACCAACCCGTCTGGCCAGCGTGGTATAGTGGGCCAAATCCTCCTTTCCAAGGAGAGGCCTATGTCCAGCAGTGGACTAGTAAAGGATGTTGATGAAATAATAATATAAAACTAATAATATAAATTATTTTCTATAAAGAGAACTTACTTAGCACTTTCCGGCAGTAGCCAAGGAGTCAATAACACCAGGAACCCCGGTAGTGTAGTGACCCATACCAGATTGCGCCAGTCGGCAATGAAATACGCGGCCCAAGGTACTAGAATGGCAGCAACTCCAAATGACAGTGCGTAAGATAGGTTAGCTACCAAGGTTCGGTACTGAGGGCCCACGTACTCAAGCACTGAAACCAACATAATTATAGTTTACTGAAATCCAACAACACAAGTTATTGAAAAACACGAATTAAAAAGTAAGTAACGAGTCTAGCACCGACTTACAGACTTCAGCATCAGAGTATCAGTACCAAGCATACTTTTTCATAGTTAGTTGAAGCTAATAAAGGGTTTTAAAAAGATTTAGTAGTGCAGACATGATTTGTGACAAGTTCAATTACAAAGCATGAATGAATGAATTCTGATCCTGTGTTCGTAAGTAACTGTGTTATACCAATCGATCCGGTGCGCATTCTACGTCACACGGTACGGTCACACGTCTGTCCGTAATTTGGATGCAGTAGTCGATCTATGACAATCATTTATACGGAATAATATTTCGATTACGTAGTTTTTATTTTACCGTGACCTATTTGAAGAGTGCTCTGCTCTTAGAGAATAGTGTTAGTACAGTACATAAAGAAATCAAACCATAAAACAAAATAATTGGCACTCTACCAACACCTAATTAGATGTATTTCAATAAAACAAAACGGCGTGAGGCGTCTATGAACCGCCGGTTGAAACTAAGTTCCAAATTTTTCGGTCTCGCTCGAACTTCGTTCCAAAATCAGTTTTATTCGTTTTCAAATATGTAGTGGTCGAAGAAAGAAGAAAAAAGTTATCGCGTTGCACCGCTGTGGTTACGCGCAAACAGCGATTTTCAATATTCGGCAAAAATTGAATACGCCATTGTTCTTTCCGGTATCAATCATTCACAACCCATATTATGTCGCAACTCAGTACACATCCATCGATATAATTGTTTACATCCTTAACATACTAATAAATAAAATTACATTGCAATTTACCATATTATAATCAAATCATTAGAATAAACAGAAGAAAAAAATATTTATTTATAGAAGATGTTACATTCATTCATTTTATCTATTATAATAATTCAATGTAATCTTATTCATATAATTTTAATCATATGTACGTATCCTGTCGTTACGATTATACGAGGTAGTAAAACATTCAGACATCCACATTTATATGTTAATGTGAAAGTGAATTTCTTTGTTTGTTACGCTTTCACGCCTAAACGCCTCAACCGATTTTAAAAATTATTTCACTAATGGAAAGCTATATTATCAGCGAGTAACATAGACTACTTTTTGCCGCGATACCCGATATATACGCGGGGAGAGCCGCGGGCAAAGGATAGTATAAACACGCGAGAACATTACCCCTCTTTGGCACTTCATAAATAAATAAAAAATCAGCTGGATAATAATATTCAAGCAACTAGGTTGTATGAATGGAGAATGGGCATTATAGTTGTTCGTTATTACTATCGAAAGTTTTGAACGACTTACCAAGGACGTAAATGATCATATAACAGGAATCAAATGACATGCCGACGAGAAACCTGCACACATGGAAGTCCCACACGCCGCTGGTAAATATAGATGCTATACCACCGATACCACTAATTAAGTTGGCTCCTAAAATAAAATATTTTTAGCAATAAACGCATACATATAAAGTAAAAAAAGGAAAAGTAGGAAAGTCGGTACAAAAGGAATTACTCAATCACGTCGATATGACCGAAGTCGGTGACACTTTTATTTAAAGTAATGTTTTTAGAGATTTGGTTATATCAGTTATTTGGAAGAGTAGTAGTATTGATTTCAACGCCCAGAGAATTACTGAGTACACTGATGGACCACTCCGATCCATGCCGCGCTAAGTGATACAAGTTCAGCTCCCACACAGAAGGCCTAGTGCAAGTTTATTTCACTCGCTCTCGACGGCGAGCGCGTTTGGCGTTGTGATTGGTGGTGATTTCAGCGAGGGCCAATCGTAGCGTCAAACGTGGTCACCGTCACGAGTGAGATGATATGAAATAACCTCGCACTTGGGCCTCTGAACTATTTAACCCTTTGACTGCCACGTCGAAAAAGCAAAAGCATGCTCTCAGCGCCAGGCTACGATTTCAAATCTAAGGAAACTTCTATACGATGCAAGTTGCTTGCGCATGTTGAGGCAATTGCGTTATTTGCTTGTCCAGTGACTCAAGCATGTTGCCCGCGTGAGCAGCATGGACATTATATCAACTAAACTTGCCGTGACTCGTGCATGCTACTGACGCAAATAACCCGCGTCTTAGCCTGCTCCAGCTACTTGCACCGTGTAGAAGCACACTTGCTAGTGTTCGTTCTTATGATCTTATGTGTTTGCGAAAATAAATGAAAAAAACAATACTTTTTTTAATAATAAAGTCGTGATTAGCGTTTAAAAGTCTGTTATACAGTCGTGACGTTGGCGTACTGGACACACTTTGTTTTGTTATGTATACATGGCTTTGGCGGTCAAAAGGTTCACAAATAGTCCTGGTCCCAGATCTCAAGTTGCCTTTCTGAAATAATAAGCTTTAACGCACCTATTAAAGCTGGTATTCTCCCATATCGATCAGCGATCCATCCGAACAAACAGCATCCCACTACGGACCCAACGAAAGACAACAACATAGCGATGCGTGGATAAGTCTCTTGTTCGCATACCCATCCTCTCTGTAAATAATATTGCACATTCAATATTTGTAAAAACTTCTTCAATACATAAATATATTTACGCTTATATCCCAAAGAGGTAGACAGCATCGTATTAAGCGCTCACATTTTACAAGCAAATTTTTATCCCTACTTGCATAGTAGGGTGAAAATCAATTAACGTGGCAGTTTAGGGATGAGATGGACAATTTTAAAGGTAAGTAAACATTAAGAAAATAAATGGCAGGAAAGGAATATTACCTTAAAGGATGGATTGGAGAATATCTTCCATCCATGTTCCTTCCCGTCTGTATAAAAATATTGTTTCCGGGGGATACTTGAATTTATTGACAAAATCTAGACTATAGTATTTATTATAATTATTCTAGACATGGAAAATAAGTCGACTAGATAGATGTTTGAAAACAAAATGCCATCCGAGATATTTTTCGTAAAAAAACGTTGTTTTTCGACATTATAAATTTTCCTCGATTTTTACCGAAGAAATGATGAGAAAGTTGTAGATATTCAAAAAAAAGTTTTTTTTTAAATAAACAATCATAAATATAGGTTTACCAATTTTAGGCTCTGATATGCGGTACATGTAGCTTTTTTTGTATAGTCCGTTGCATAGTTTTTGCAAAAAGCCATTTTTGTGGTAAAATGTACCACAAAAATGGCTTTTCACTCAGAAACTATCACACTTTCGAGCTTGGGCTTTGATATAGGAATGTTAATTTATGCCTAGATGTGTTACCTTTCATAAAAATATTATTCTAAATAGATTTTTAAATAAATAGACGAAATAACAATTTTTATCCCATCTGTCAAAAATCATAAAACTCATTACATGTGTTTATCAACTGGACGGTACTAACGCCATAAAACTATAAATTATAAAACTAAAGAATTAATTTTGATGTAAGAAAAATTTTCAGTTAAAAATGTGTACGCTGTTTTCTTTTAAGTTAAGCAAAAATAAATAATTAAATTTTATCAAGCACGAAAACTTAGCGAGCCCTCCTAAGGCACAGTGATTTGCTAGTTATATGATAAAGCTGATTTTTTATAGATATACGCACTAATCTTTGTAGTGAACCACTACGTCACGAAGGTTGTCAACTACCCTGCTACGAAAATTACAGTTTATTAATATGCAAAACTCACCTCTGTAACGACTGTTTCATATGGTATCACACTAAAGTCGAACTCCCAGCCGTACTGACAAGGTATTAGAGGTGTTCCATCTACCGGAGGAGTTAATGTATGCAATACTTGAGTCCAGTTGGTATCAAAAGTCATGCATTGATTCCACACACCTGTGCTGGCTCCTGGTGCTGACAGATTTCGCCTATAAAAGAGAAGGATTTAAATACGAACCTGTTTAATATTGTGTGGTGACGGGTTAAGAATACGGAGTGTCACCACCCCTATTCATCTCCTGGGTGTCTAAGGGAACAAACTACGCAGGACAACAGCACTGCAAAGAGAAGGACAACTTGTCACAAACCCTATACCAACCCGTCTGGCCAGCGTGGTATAGTAGGCTGAAACCTCCTTTCTAATGAGAGCCTATTTCCAGCAGTGGATTATTAAAGGCAGTTGATGATGGTGATGATGATGATATTTTTAAATATAGTGTTAATTAGTATATTTTTAAATCGGTTATAAATTTAACCATATAAAATGATTTGCTACCCATGCAATGCTGTACTGCACTGTACGCCATTACTTGACGGTCAAGGTGAAGCAAACAATCACTGACAAATTATAATACGTACGTTTGTAACGGTCTTAGATTATCTCTACCAGACATGTTCGATCGCCACTCAAAAGTGTCACGAACATAGGTAAAATACTTTTTTATTAAACATAAAAAAAAAACTTTTTTTTGTTTAATAAAAAGTATTTTTTTGAGATACTAAAAAATGCAACAAGAGCTAGTGTAATAATAATTTTCATGTAAAGTGTTGCCAAAACGAAACCACATGGCTCACACTGTCAAAAACTTATCAGATCTCATGTAGAGCCAATCTTCTAACTCTACACGACCTAACTCTACAAGCCTTAACTTTACAAACTCTACACCTTAGTCCAAATAGCCTGACTCTTTCTAATGAAATCTAAAACTATCGTTTACTTACCGCTTAGCTCGCGTTAAAAATAATTTGCCTGCCCTTGGACCTATTTTACAATAGGTAAAGGTACACCGGTACCTAATAGTGAAACCGGTAATAGGTAGGGAAAGGTACACCGCGCCACCTTGCACATAGCCTATCAAGCACCTATTTAGCTTGACACCGACTTCAAACAGACTAGACACCGACTTCAAACAGACTAGAAGGTATCTATTGTTATTATAATTTTACCTGTTACATTGACGGTCGTACTGATTTTAGTTTTTCCAATTACCTAAGTAATAATTTATTTTTAAAGGAATTATTATAATTTTTTTAGCATAAGATACGTTTGTAATGAGTAGATACGATAATAAAAACGCCATATAATGTATATTACAAAACTGTAGTAAATTAGATTATATTAAATTTGATTTTCCACCATTAGGTATCATATTTTCCTTACATTTTAATGGAACCAAAAGGGAAATATAGGGTATATTTCCCTTTTGGTTCCATTAAAATAAAGAAAGAGTTTTGAGGTAACAAACATGGAAATAATTGCGTAGAATAAATTTTTTTGGTCTAAATGTTTTGTAATCTTATTTATTACTTTCTTGTGCTATAGCTATGCGTGTATAGTTATGTGTGTACGAGTATAGTAGATAACGCGTAACAAACATACAAAAAAATACAGTCGAATTGAGAGCCTTCCCTTTTGTGTTTATGAAGTCGGTTAAAAATCTATACTAATATTACAAAACCAAAGAGCTGGTTTATTTGATTGAACACGCTAATCTCAGGCACTACTGGTTTAAATCTTCTCGGTAACTAGAAAATACAAAAATTTAAATTGATATATAACTTTCTGCTCTCTCATACCTCAGTTCTTGAGATAAATTCTTGAGCTCAGGAACTCTGCACCAGTAATTTTCGGGAGTCACTGTTATAAGTATTGGCACAAAGTAGTTGAAACAAAACGTGAAACCGAACGGTAAAGTCGCCAAAAACAAATAAATTTGGTAGCGTCCCATTTCTCCCACGTGTGACAGCAAAGCTTCCAACTTGTCTCCATTTTGACCAGGATTTTTGTTTAACTCTTCTGTTTCACCCTGAGAACAGACATTTCTAATGATTTAATTATAATTAAATTATTTATTGGAGTAACTAAGACTCAAATGACTGCTAATAAATTTGAGAATAGGAGTAAATTTATTTCGTAAATAATTATGTTGCGATATTTATGTTATTTATTTATTTAAATGTACTCTCGGTAAAAAGGCGACTGACAATAAGCAAAAGTTCTTCTTTACCAGTCAACCAGCAAAAGAGTTGAGCCTTGTAAAAGAAAATTATATGTCTCGGTAGCAGAACTTTTTTTATTGAAAGACCGTTCTTTTCCGAAACCCTATAAGAGTTTGCAAAATATACTGACTTAGCGAAAGTGTAACAAATCACGAAATACTCGTACAACAACTTACATTCATGTTAAATTTAAAAAAAAAAAAAATTAAACATTTCATTGTTACATTTTGCCTCATCTTATAGTTAATATTATAGTAATATATTACATTTGGAAAATGAACAATATCGATCGAAATATGTATAACTTGCTTCTTTAAAACTAAATACACGAAACACTGTTTTTACTATGCTAGTACAAAAGTACATCTTCTTACACATTTCCAAATTTATTTGAGAAATTTAATGCTGCTAAGAAATTTAATGTTATAAAATAAAATGGAAAAAACAGAGAAGTGTGAGATGGAGGAACGGGACTTTAATTACAGAAACTCTTTCTAGTTAAGCTATTCCAAGGCCCGTTTTAATCACGTAATAAAATTAAGCGTGTAGTCATATTATTTCATTGTTCTCCAATTGCAGGAACTAACGTCCTGCGGCTTGGAGAGGTTTCTACTTGGAGCTAGCTTATGCTTAGAGAGACTGATCCGGATGTGTTAATAACAGCAGTTCCCGGATCCCTCCTATTGCAAGCGCAGAGTGGCACACCGTGTGGTGTTAGTCGGTCTGATTTCGACACACCACCCCGACGTAAACCCCGGTGGGGTGACAGCCCGAGGGGATTTCCACACGTAAAAAAAAGGCTTAGAGAGACTAATAAAATAATATCAACTAACCTAAACTGGGTTTTTATACTTCTATATTTGTCAACTATCGACAGAATTCACAAATTTCTATTCAAGATATATTGTCATTAATTTAACAAATACTTGCAAAAATTAGATCGCATTCAAGTTTAAAAGATAGCTCATCTTGATACTTGTTCTTCACTAATATTAAAATATATTTTAAAAAAAAAATTTTTTAGAAAACTAAAAAACACGCTTTTTATAGAAAACCAAACTAAAAAATAGAAAATAAATTTTATTAAATTTGAAAAAAGTGGGTGCCTGTTGTCAATAGAAAAAAGCACCCCACGCTTCTTTTCAAATTTATTAAAAACGTGTTTTTTAGTTTTTTAAAACTTTAAAAAAAAAATTAGTGTATTGTCATCGGTCCTTGATATATCTACAAAGTTTCAACGAATTCTGACCGTTTAAAGTCAGTCAAAATCACGCCCAAAGGAGTCGGTTACAAACAAACATACAAGTGAAGCTAATATAAAGCGTGTAAAAATATTGTCTAACTTACATTCAGGTCCTTCGGTGGTTTGTTGATGACTGTCATCTCGCTACTGGTTGTAAGTACAAGTTCGTTTAATATAATGTAGATATAACTAGCCTTATCTTTCTCTATTAGCATGCATAATGATGAATCTTAACAATTGATGTTGAAAACTGTTGAAGACGCTTAAGAGATAAAATTCAGAGTTACTTCACGTGTTTAATTATATAAAAATGTAATTAGTTACTAATACTTTAATTGCATTGGACGACCGGATGACGTAGTGGTTTGTGTAACGGACTTCTGTTCCAAAGATCGTGGGTTAGATTCAAACCTCAATTCGAAGTCAAACATTTGTGTGCATGAATATTCAATGTTTGATTTAGTCTGGGTGTTTCTATGTATGTATTTATAAAAAAAAGTATAAATGTATTTATATCAGTGGTCTAGTACCCATAGTATAAGCTCTGCTTAGTTTAGGACAAGATAGCGTTGTGTGAATGTGGTAGAATATCATTATTAGTATTACTACTAAGACTTAGTAGTAATAATAATAATATTCTACCAGTTTAGTATGTACTTCTTATTGGGTTTATTTTATGTTGGTGCCCATGACAACTTTAAAAAGTCTTTTTAATAAAAAGTCTTCCTCTATATCACTAACTTGAAGTTTTATTTTTACGAAAAACAAAAGTTCACCAAACCAAACTGCTCAAAACTGAATTGAACGATATTAGTAGTAATTCTATATACCCCTATTCATCCCGTGGGTGCGGTAAGAACCAAATAAGGGAGCAATCTACAGCTCAGGACAACAGCACTACAAAGAGAAGGAAAACTTGACACAAATCCTATAAAAACCCGTCTGGCCAGGCGTGGTGTAGCAGGCCAAAACCTTCTTTCTAAGAAGAGGCTTTTGTCCAGCAGTCGACTATTAAAGGCTGTTGATTATGGTAATTTAGTATTGTAGTAGTATATGTATTCTAAACGTAAATGAACGTGTCGAAACCTTATCTATATCTTCTTCTATTAAGAAAATTGAATTTAAGAAAATCTGTTTTTAACCGACGAAAAAAGGGAGGAGGTTCTCAAATCGACGCGTATTTTTTTTTATGTATGACACCATAACTTTTTTCTCAGTAGTCCGATTCTGATAATTCTTTTTTTATTAGAAAGAGTATACCCCGAAGTTGGTCCCATATAAATTAAAAAATAATTAGGGTAACGGTAGGAAAACAGGGGATGATTGATTGTTTACTCACTGATTGTAATGTTTGACCACGCATAACTTTTTACAGAGTAGCCCGATTATAAAATTCTTTTTTTATTGGACAGGGTATACCTCTTAGTTAGATAGGGCCTCGAGTAATTTACGGCTTACCGATGGTCTCCTGATTTGTGGTAACCACGGTTATCCCTCAACGCCCCTAAAGGAGATCCGGAACGCGTCGCGTCGCCACCTGTCACCCCCAGGCCGGGCGCTCATGAAAGACGAACATCATTCAGTGACCACTAGCGCTTTAGCCTGCAGTACCTGGTCCGATCCCGGGCCTAGTGAGCCGGGGAGGGTTCTAAGTCGCTCCCGGTCCCACTTCGCCCCGTAGGAGGAGTTAGTCGCTCCGTACCATGGTCGCAATCAGTCACGAGGTCATGCCTTTGCTCCATACACGCTGGACATTCTGGCAGCGTGTAAAGCGTCATGACAACGCTCTGGCCATCATAGTGGCAGCACCAGCAGGACGTTGGCTCTTTGCGGATCAGACACAGGGGACCTCCCTCTCTAACCGTCGCGATAACAGCGTGCCAGAATGAAGCCGCCCATAATCTTCTGAACGAAAAACTTTCGCCCGGTATAGGATAAATGGAACCCCCCCCCTCCCCCCCCCCCAAAGTAATTCGAATAAAAACATTTGCATTTATTTTCGTACACTGTTCAATAGATGTTACTATGATTAGATAATAATACGTTAGACATGCACATTATGAAAAAGTTCCGTTTTCGTTTCGATTTCTCTTTTTGCCTTAAAATTCCCCCCGTGTGCGGTGCACGCTCTATACACCCTTACCCGGCGGCCCTGATGTGACGGTTTTCAAACTCCGCGCAAACGAAATCGCTGGTACCAGCTAGTGAAGAATTAATGTGCGGGCGCCTACGGAATCAGTGCGCGCAATAGTTTGAATGTCCTTTGAATCTATGTCGTATCGTGAGACGGTAAGCTGTATATATATTATCATTATTTATCCTTATTATTATTTATAAATGCAAATCAATTGACCATAGACCCAATTGTTACTGTAAGACGTAAAGTGGACGAGGACTTGGACGTTCCTTATGTTCAGGTCTTCTCGTGAAATCCTTTCTTCGAATTTTAAATCACGAAGAGGCCAGCTATCTAAACCTCATCAAAATTAAAAGACCTATTTCTTAGCGTACCATGGATACACCGGGTCCATCGCGTGATAGATGGGAGCAACACATGCGACTTCGACAGCACCTGGGAAGTTGGTACTGGTTTAGTGAGTACTCCTTGCGACGCGTCTGCGCTCACCTCCACTGTCTGCTGTGTTACCCCCCTCTGCCTAACTATATTTGATACGAGCCCAGCAATGCCGCTTTGTATATTTGTTCAAGAAAAGAGCTTACTGAAACTTTTGGCAATCCAAGGTCTTTAAGCAGGTTATATGAGGGAATTAGCTGGTATACCCCTCGCACCCACTTCCACGGCATACAAAGCGACGAAATAACTATTTTTAGTTGTTTCGTTGGTTAAGTCCAAGTCCTTGTTTCTTTTTAAAGCTTGGTCTTTAGGTATGTTCGTTTCCCACAGCACCGTGAGATCTACTAATACATACAATACATATATACATATATACTCGTACATACAATATCCGTATCTATACTATTAAAAAGGTGAAGATTTTGTTTGGTAGAACGCGCTAATCTCAGAAACTACTGGTTCGAATTGAAAAAACTTTTAGTGTTAAATAGCCCATTCATAGATGAAGGTTATAGAATAAAGGCTACGTAACATGATGCCAGGACAAATAGGAGTCGAGCATGAATGTATCATGTATCGTACTATTTAACCCTTATAGTATGGACAATGGATTCGTAATCAGTTCCCACTCTTTAACACCATCTAAGTGTGAGCCTACGAACTTTTCAGCCAAACTGTTGCATATAATTAAAAATCTATGTTCGTTTATCAAAAAAAATACGATAAACATGACTCCTCCCGGACCCTCTCCGCCGCCTTCTTCTGCAAGATGACGTGTTCGCAGAAGGATTGGACCGGCCTTAAGTACTCAACAGATAATCCACCCGTATCCACGATGTGTGGATTCAATTGAAATGAAATTCTAAAATTTTACGTTTGTGAAAATTAGACGAATTCATAAATAAATAGAAGTAGAGACCATCACTTTTAAATATAATAACGATTAAGCCCCGATCTAGATATTTTATGCAATCCTTTATCACACTACTAGACTAACGTGTCAAATTGTACACAAACACCGCTTGCTTTCTTTTACATCACGGTCACCTAGACTTTGGATTTCCAAATCTGTAGAGCCATGAAACAAAACTATTATCCTTCATAATGTTTCGTTTTAACAAGTCGATGTAGTCTTAATAATAAACATTTTTGTATTTTTATTAGTTTTTTCAGACTCACTTGGATATAATTTATTTATTTTTGAAAAATTGTTGAGTTTCAAAAATGAGAGAAATCGTTCACATTCAAGTTGGGAAATGTGGTAACCAAATCGGATCCAAGGTAAAGTTTCGAATGTAATTCCTTAAATCATTAGTAGGAGAACACCACAGTTATACTTGACTTTGTGAAGAAACTCAATGCAATTACCAAAGTCTTTAAATTAAATAAAAAAAATTAAAGTTCACCCCATCACACATCACATACAGCCTCTAACAGTCCACTGCTGGACATAGGCCTCTCCTTAGAAAGGAGGTTTTGGCCTACTATACCACGCTGGCCAGACGGGTTGGTATAGGGTTTGTGTGGGGTGCTGGGCTAGAAAACCTCCTCGTGGTGCACCCTGGAAACGCTGGCGATGGTACTGTTTCCTCCTTGTCCTCTTGGAGGAGAGGATTATCGCCAGCGGCCAATATTCTAGCAGAAGAGGCAGCCGTTCATCGGCTCTCGGGCAAGGCCTGGTCCAGCAGGGTGGGCGTGTCTGCCGGTTGCCCTGCTGGCTCTTCGCTCTTCGGAGCATGGAGGAGGAAACCTCGGTAAAAAAACCTGATGGCGGGGCCCTGTAGGGGCCACAGTTTCTCCGCTGATAGCGGTGGAGAAAGGAGGACGGGCTCGGCGTGTACTCACACTACCACCGAGCAGGCAGGGGGACGTAGTCTCCCTGTCAACCGTCGGCATATCGTAATCCCGAGAAGAGCGCTGTGGTTAAGTCTCGCGGCTCTGATCGGGGGCGAGGGTCTTGGCTTAACCGCCCGGACCGCGAGGAAGATAACCTCTCTAAAAAATTCCCCGAATCCCGTGTTCTGGTGCGTGGCCAGGGGATGCATGGCTGATGGGAAGTTCAGTCGCGAGCGCACTCCAAGCCGAGGTACCTGCGGACCCCTCGGTTGGGTTAAAAACTTACGCTTGCCCGGGTAATGGGGGATCTCTGCCCGGGTGGACCTTTAGTTCTCCCCCACTCGTGGGATTTATTATGGATAATGATAACCAAAATTCAAGAAAAACGATCGGAAAACCAACTAAAACAAAAAAGGCAAGTCAAACGGACACGGCAACGAGGAAGGATAAGAGGAACAGTGGAGTGGATGGGTCGTCCACTGAGGGTGAGATGGTGTCAGGAACGCCTATCTCGATGGGGCTCCCAGAAGTCAGTCTGACGCTGGTCTCTGGGAGCCGAAGAGCATCGGATCGGCTGCGTTCCGGATCCGCCGCTTCATCGGATGGCGCGGAGGCCATGGAAGCGGAGCGGAGCGACAGCCGGAAACGCGGACGCTCAGGGGACGTGGAAACCGACACGTCCGGCGAAATGATGCCACCAAAGGTGGCAAGCAGCCGCCGAGGGAGGGCGCGCAAACCGGCCTCGGTCGCGATCCCGTCAGGCTCCGCGTTCTCCAACGCGGAGTCGTACAGGAACGTACGGGTGGACGGCGAGGCCGTAGCGGAGGAGGAGATCGCGGATCTCCTGCTCAAGGTTCGGGAGCCGGTGGGGGGAAATGCCCCCCAGGCTCCCGTGTCCGTGCAGGAGAGGGCGAAAGCGGCGGTGGCCGTCATCGACAAGGTGGCCACCAAATCCGTGAACCTTAAGGGCTCGTTTGTGAGGGCCCTTAAGGACTCCTCCTCCGCTTTGTCGGAGGTCGTGGAGGGCCTAGCGGGCGACGTCTCTCGCCTGCAGGTGGCCAACGAGAAGCTGACGGAGCGGGTGAACGAGCTGAGCGCTCAGTTCGCCCGCTTCCAGGCGAACCTCCCCGAGCGGGAAGCCCCGTCCGCGTCCCAGCCTGCCCCTACCACCAACTCAGGGGCATTTGACTCCCAACTGCGAGAAATCCTCATCGCAGTTGGGAATATGCTGGACGGACGCCTGGCTGGCCTGGAGGCGAGATTGCCTCCTGCGCCGAGTATGCGCCCCCCGCTCGCGTCGACACAGCGGCCTAAGGCCGCCGCTCCGACCGCGCTCCCCGTAGTGGGAGGCCGCGTCTCCTACGCGGCGGCGGCGTCTGCCCCGACTCCATCGGCTCCCCAAAAGCCGAGGAGGGGGGCCAAGGCACCGGCCCAGGCGCCGGCCAAGGCACCGGCTAAGGCGCCGGCCAAGGCACATCCCCAGGCGCCGGCCAAGACGGGGCCTAACACGGCGCCGAGGAGCGGAGTGGCATTCCCTCCGCTCCCCACTCCGACACCCCTGCCGGGCCCCTCCGCACCTGCCCCCTCCAACGAGGGCTGGCAGGAGGCGAGGGGCTCCAAGAAGTCCCGAAGGCGGGCCAGAAAGGCTGCCCAAAAAGCAGCCCAAGCCCAGCCTTCGCCACCGGTGACAACGGCCTCTGCAAAGAGGCCGCGGAAGCTGCAGCCGCCCAAAACCGCGGCTGTAGTTGTGACCGTGTCCCCGGAGGCGGCTGACGGCGGGCTGTCCTATGCGGCCGTCTTCAAAAAGGCCCGGGACAGCCTCGCCAACGAGTTTGGGACGGTGGGGGTCAGAATGCGCCTCGCCCAGACGGGAGCTCGAGTTCTCGAGTTCCCTGGGGCTGAAGGCGCAAAGACGGCGGACTCCTTCGCTGAGAAGCTGCGGGGAATATTTGCAGCCACAGATGGTGTCAGGGTCGCCAGGCCTACCAAGTGCGCGGAACTGCGCATCTCGGGCCTGGACGACTCAGTGACGGCCGAAGATGTCCGCGCTGTAATCCGGGAGAAGACGGGGTGCAGCGCGGACAACGTCAGGGTCGGCACCATCCGCCCCGGTCCAGGAGGGCTTGGCGCCGTGTGGGTCAGCTGTCCCGTAGCGTCGGCCAAAGTATTGGCCGACGCCGGCAGGCTGCTCATCGGTTTCGTGAGCGCCAGGATCACAGTCCTGGCGGCGAGACCGATGAGGTGTTTTAAATGCCTGGCCACGGGACACACGCGCGTCAAGTGCGACAGTTGTTTTGACTGCGGCGGACTGTGTTTCCGCTGCGGTCAACCGGGGCATAAGGCGGCAGAATGCTCTGCCGCCCCTCACTGCCCAGCGTGTGCGGCGGGCAATAAGCCCGCCAATCACCAGATGGGGCAGAGAGGCTGCAAGCCTCCCCGCAGTTCTCGGCAGACGTCAGGGGCTAGCCAGTCGACCCAGGCTGCCTCCGACGTAGTACGTGCGTCGTCGTCGTCGCCCATGGAGGAGGTTGTAGAGACGATCCAGTAATGGATCAAGTCTCCAACCTCCTGGTCCAGACGAACCTGAACCACTGTGCCGCGGCGCAGGATCTCTTCCTGCAAACCATGGCACAGTGGTCGATAGGTGTTGCCGTAGTCGCGGAGCCCTATTCTGTCCCTCCCCGTCCAAACTGGATGGGTGACTGGGACGGCTCCGTGGCAGTCGTCGGTTCCACGACGGCTCATTCCCCGCCCTTGTCGCTAAGAGACAAGGGCACTGGATATGTTGCCGTCGAGTGGGGGGGGATCACCATATATGGTGTCTATTTCTCCCCCAACCGGAGTTTGAACGACTTCGAGGTTTTCCTAATCAGCTTGGAGACCTCGATACGGCGACTAGCGTCTGGGCACGTCCTTGTGCTGGGGGACTTCAACGCAAAGTCCATTGCGTGGGGTTCCCCCAGGACGGACGCCAGGGGCGAGGCCGTAGAGGAGTGGGCGGCCTCGGTGGGCCTCTGTCTTCTAAACAGAGGCTCCACCAACACGTGCGTGCGACAGCAGGGGGGGTCGATAGTGGACCTCTCGTTCGCTACCCCTGCCCTCGCCGCACGAGTAAGGAAACTGGCGTGTCCTGGAAGAGGTTGAGACGCTCTCGGATCACCTGTATATCCGATTTGAGCTCTCCCGGACCCAGGACTCCAGTAGGGGTCACGTGGCGCGGCGTTTATCCCGCTTTCCGCGGTGGGCTGTTGCCAGGCTGAACCGGGACCTACTAGAGGAGGCAGCCATAATTCACTCGTGGCTGTCTCCTCAGGCTCCGACCGAGGAGGTCGACGTGGGGGCTGGCCGCTTTCGCGATGCGATTACGCATGTATGCGATGCGGCCATGCCCCGCGTTCGAGGTCGTCGGCCTCCAAGGAAGGAGGTCTACTGGTGGTCCCAGGAGCTGGCGGACCTCCGTGCGGCCTGTACACGTGCCCGGAGGTCCTACACACGCAGTCGGCGGCGTCACCGTGGAGACGGTGAGGAGGACCGGCTTCATGAGGAGTACCGGCGGGCGCGGAAAACTCTGAAGCTGGCCATTAGCCGCGCCAAAGAGGAAAAGAGACAGGAGATGCTGGAGGGTCTTAATCGTGACCCCTGGGGTCGCCCTTACCGCGCGGTGCGACAAAAGCTCCGCGCGTCGGGCCCCCCCCTTACGGAGACTCTCCAGCCCAGCTTCCTGCGAGAAGTGGTTGAGGGCCTTTTCCCACAACGAGCGGAACACACTCCCCCGTCGATGGCCTCCCTGGCCGGAGACGACGGGGAGCACGGGGAGGACAATGTTCCGCCCGTCCGGGATTCGGAGGTAGGGGCGGCTGTTCTACGGATCCGTTCCAAGAACACCGCCCCTGGGCCAGACGGGGTACCGGCCCGAGTGCTGGCCCTGGCCCTCAACCACATGGCAGACCGCCTCGGGGAGGTGTTCGACGCTAGCTTGGCGTCGGGACGCTTCCCTGAGTGCTGGAAAAGCGGGAAGCTGGTCCTATTGAGGAAGCCGGGACGGCCAGCCGATTCGGTCGCGGCCTATAGGCCCATCGTGCTGCTGGACGAGGCGGGCAAATTGTTTTGAGAGGGTTCTTTCTGCCCGCATCGTCCGGCACCTCTGCGAGGTGGGCCCCGATCTGTCGGACGCCCAGTTTGGTTTTCGGGCGGGGCGTTCGACAGTCGACGCCGTGCTGCGCCTGAGGGCCGTGACCGAAGAGGCCGTGAGCTGTGGCGGCGTGCTGTTGGCGGTGTCACTGGACATCGCCAACGCATTCAATAGTCTGCCATTCAGCTGCATCAGGGAAGCACTCCACTATCATGGGGTGCCAAAGTACCTGAGGCGGCTAGTGGCAGACTATTTAGAGGAGCGTACCGTCGTGTACGAGGACCGAGAAGGTAATTTGAGGTGTCGGCCCATGTCGTGCGGTGTTCCACAGGGGTCTGTTCTTGGACCCCTCTTGTGGAACATAGGGTACGACTGGGCCCTTCGCGCCGATTTCCCCCCCGGGCTGGGTGTAATCTGTTACGCAGACGATACACTGGTGACAGCCCGGGGGGCAAACTTCCAAGAGGCGGCGCGCCTGGCCACAGGGGGAGTCTCCCTGGTGGTCGGGCGCATTGAGGCGCTGGGCTTACGGGTGGCCCTAGATAAGACGGAGGCCCTGTTATTTCATGGGCCCCGTCGTGGTCCACCCCCCTGGCGCCTCAATCGTGGTCAACTCGGTCCTCGTACCGGTTCGGGCCCAGATGAAATATCTGGGCCTGATCCTCGACGGGAGGTGGCTCTTCGACGAGCACTTCCGACAGCTTGCTCCAAAGCTGGTCGGCGCTGCGTCTGCCCTAGGGCGACTCTTGCCCAATATGGGTGGACCCAGCGTCGCGACAAGACGGCTGTACACGGGGGTTGTCCGGTCAATGGCGCTGTACGGTGCACCGGTGTGGGCGGCGGCTCTGACCGCCCAGAATAGGGTACGCCTCTGGCGCCCTCAGAGGGTAATGGCGGTCAGAGCCATACGCGGTTACCGCACCGTTTCTACGGAGGTGGCATGCGCGTTGGCCGGAACTCCCCCGTGGGATTTGGAGGCGGAAGTGCTCGCCGAAGTTTATCGGCGAGTGGCTGACTTCCGGGCGGAGAGCGGATTTCGCCCTCCGCCCGAGGATGTGCGCGAGTGGCGCGAAGCCGCTCGCCGAGCCACGATGGCTCGTTGGTCGTTCCGGCTGGAGACTCCACGCGCTGGCTTCGCCGCCGTGGAGGCTCTCCAGCCGGTCATCGCCGAGTGGGCAGGGCGGCAGCACGGGACCCTTTCCTTCCGACTGACGCAGGTGCTTTCCGGGCACGGTTGCTTCGGAAAGTACCTGCACACGGTCGCTAGGAGGGAACTGAGTCCCGCCTGCCACCACTGCGACTGCAGTGAGGACTCGGCCCAGCACACGCTGGCGGTCTGCCCCGCATGGGCGGCGCAGCGCCGGGCCCTCACTGCAGTCATCGGAGTGGATCTCTCGCTACCGGCCGTAGTACGCTCCATGGCCGGTAGCGACAGTTGTTTTACCGCGGTCGCAACCTTCTGCGAGGTAGTAATCTCGCGGAAGGAGGCGGCGGAAAGGGCCCGGGAGGACGACCTCCACTCGGACCCGATCCGCCGCCGGCGAACCGGGCGGCGGAGGCCCGCCTACCACAGCCTCATGCCGCCCTGAGTGTGGCCGCGGGTGGACGGGGTGGGTTTCCCCTCCACCCGCATTAGTTTGGCCAGCCGCGAGGGGGCGGCGTCCGCGTGTGCCGGACGTCGCCTAAAGAGAGGAAAAATATTGAGACGGAGCCCGCACCAGGAGCGGGCTGGCGCTAGGAGGGGTCCGGATGTCTTAACAACAGCTGTTCCCGGATCCCTCCTGTTACAGACGCAGAGTGGCACACCGTGTGGTTTTAGTCGGTCCGAGTCCGACACACCACCCCGCCGCAAACCCCGGAGGGGTGACGGTCCGAGGGGATTTCCACACGTTAAAAAAAAAAAAAAAAAAAAAAAAGGGTTTGTGTCAAGTTTTCCTTCTATCTGCAGTGCTGTTGTCCTGCGTAGTTCGCTCCCTTAGTTGCCTCTTACGACACCCACGGGATGAATACGGGTGGTGACACTCTGTATTCTTAATCCGTTACCACACGGACGAAGTTCACCCCAGTTTATAACTAAATTGTCGGACGACCTTAAATCGCATGGTACAGGTTCTTCCCTAGAGTAGAACGCCTGAGGCCGGCCGTCGAGGTGGCTTTTAGTGTAAACACCGCACACTCCTGACTCCAGCGTCCCCAAGGATCCGGATCAATAAAAAGAGTAGAAACTGATCACGAATCCATTGTCAGGGGCTAAAATTGCACATTTTTATATTTATCCAAACTCTAAGAGTTAAATAGTAAGACACATGATAGACTCAAATGGATGATATAATGTAACTCAACTGTATGATTTTTTATTTTGTCAATAAGATCATATCTATTGCTCTCCTTGTCACAAATATGTATAAAGTATATATTTATTTCAGTTTTGGGAGGTTATCTCTGACGAACATGGGATTGACCCATGTGGCAACTACCACGGTGACTCCGATCTGCAACTAGAACGTATTAACGTATTCTACAATGAAGGACTAAAATCAAAGTATGTCCCTCGAGCAGTGCTCGTCGATCTCGAACCTGGAACGATGGATGCTCTGCGATCCGGAGTTTATGGCCAACTTTATCGCCCTGATAATAGCGTTTTCGGCGTTACTGGAGCAGGTAATAACTGGGCTAAAGGATATTATACCGAAGGGGCAGCTATACTTGAATCAGTTTTGGATGTTGTAAGAAAAGAAGCAGAGGGCTGTGACTGTTTGCAAGGATTCCAAGTCATTCATTCACTTGGAGGTGGTACTGGTTCTGGTCTGGGAACGTTACTGCTGACAAACTTAACTGAAGAGTATCCAGATAGGTTAACTGTGACCTATTCCGTAGTTCCCAGTCCCAAAGTTTCAGATACTGTCGTTGAACCGTATAATGCAACGTTAGCAGCAAACCAGCTCATAGAAAATTCAACACAATCTTACTGCATAGACAACGAGGCGTTGTATGACATTTGTTTCCGGACCTTGAGGTTAAAGACTCCAACGTATGGAGATTTAAATCATCTAGTATCTGCAACCATGTCTGGTGTTACTACTTGTCTGAGGTTTCCAGGACAATTAAATGCAGATTTAAGGAAGCTGGCTGTTAATATGGTGCCATTCCCAAGGTTGCATTTCTTTATGCCTGGCTTTGCACCGCTGACATCCCGCGGTTGTCAGCAGTATCGAGCCTTGACGGTGCCTGAATTAACTCATCAAATGTTTGACGCTAAGAATATGATGGCTGCTTGTAACCCGCGATGTGGGAGATACTTGACTGTTGCTGCAGTATTCCGTGGTCGTATGTCTATGAAGGAGGTTGATGAACAAATGCTGAATATTCAAAAGAAAAACAAAGACTATTTCGTTGAATGGATTCCGAACAATGTAAAGACAGCTGTCTGTGACATTCCTCCCAGAGGTCTTAAGATGTCAGCCACGTTCATTGGTAACACTACAGCTATTCAAGAATTATTCAAGAGGATTGCAGAACAATTTACGTCAATGTTTAGAAGAAAGGCTTTTCTCCATTGGTATATTGGAGAAGGTATGGAGGAGAATGACTTTACAGAAGCAGACAATAACCTCAGTGATCTGATATCAGAGTACCAGCAGTATCAAGATGCTGTCAGTGGCGATCAAGATGGCGAAGAACAGGACACCGAAGATGAGGAGACGCCCGGAGATGCATAATTTTTATTTATAATTAATTTAATAAATTATTGGTGTACTACTTATTTCTTTGAGATTTTTATTCCAGAACTTTGTCAAAATAACTACATATACCTAACCGTGGAAATAAAGTATATTGTAGATGAGAAATCTCCCATCAAGTTATTAATTGTGGTATCATAAAAACTACTTACAACCAATACTTGTCAAACAAAACTACGACTCAAACTGTCCTAGCCAAGTTATACTTTTTGAAAGAACTGTAAACCACAATCTGTAAAAAATAAACTAGGGAAGATATGATAAGCATTCTCAAACGAGAGAGTTCTTTCCAATGACCAAATAAGTAATTCACTCCAATCTGAACTCTGACAAAAGTTGCTGTTCCCTGCCACGCTTCGCGGCACATTGACTGACGCGAAAAATAAATAAAAAACATTATTTGAAGCTCGCAAACAATATTTGTGCATCGTGTCAGAGTTCGAACTCAATCGGTGCAGAACTTTTTGTGTTTTTGAAGCTTACACGAACCAACGTAACTTTATAAGTATATTTATAGATAAAAATACAACTTGTGATAGGAGGTTCTTACCAGTTGTGTAATTGTAATACACTCAATGATACTCACGCAATAAAGACGATTGAACGACATTGCAGACCAGAGGCCTTTTTTTTTGTTGATGTGGTGGAAAATCCCTTCGGATCTCCGGCTTCTTGGGGATGTAGGAGCCAGGAGTATGTGGTGTTTCTACTAAAAACCACCCCGACGGCCGGACTCAGGCGCAATACTCCGAGGAGGATCCGGACCATGCTATTTCAGGTCCCCTCGGGACCGACGCCGTGCCTAGTAAAGCCCTATCCCGGGGAAACTGCAGGCTTCCCCCGCCTATCGTTCCAATGCTTATAATATGTTGCGGCCCGATCGCATTTTTGCGACAAGGCCGCCCTCCTATCGCCTACCGCAGCTGTTTATCTGCCACCAGAGGTCCCCTCCCTATGGCAGCCTGCGGCCCCGTCGACAGCTGGTATATGTTATTGTACATATACAAGTTAAAAAATTGAGTATTGCACACATTGCAAAAATAACATTTGCAATGATACAAATCTCTGAAAGTAGCAGTGGAATAAGAATAATTGTTTCTGTATTGGATAAATTTGAATTGAAAAAAACGAGCAACAAAGCGTTCCAAATCAAAAATATTTTTTCAAATCGGTACATAAATGACGGCATTTTCATGTAACAAAAACAAAAAAGTTCAATTGTAAACCTTCTACTTTTTTTAAGTCGCTTCTAAATAAAACCGACCAATTACTTACACGTGTAATAAAAACACACGATATTGCCGACGTAACAGAATTAACGTTTAATTTTAAAATTAAAATATGACAACAAAATTAATATTATATACATTAAATTCAGAAATATTATTTCTCAGTAACTCTGTAATTAATGATGTTACTTCTGTTGTTCCTAAAGGAATATATTATCCTTATACTTTACATCACAGTATATTTTGAAATTATGCATAACTTTTGGATAAAACTTTTCACTATAAATATATATTTAGTTTTTTGGATTCGATTCCCGCTCAAGTCAAACATTTGTGTGCATGAACATTTAATGTTTGATTTGGTCTGGGTGTTTCTATGTATAATATATATGTATTTACAAAAAAAAGTATATATGTATTTATATCAGTTGTCTAGTACCCATAGAACAAGCTCTGCTTAGTTTGGGACTAGATGGCGTTGTGTGGATGTAGTGAAATATATTATATTATTATTATTATATACACTGAAAAACGGCCAGTACGCACAATTCAATATACGATAACACCAGAAGTGGTTAGCGCCTCCTAACTTATCCATATAACAATCTGGGTCATGTACATTACGTCGATTAAATTTACGTAAAAAAAAATTAAGTATAATAAGTAACTGGTCAAGTGTAAAATAGCTATAATCATAAAAGTTAGATTAGTTAAGTATATTAATATATATTATAAACATAAAAGTGTGTAATTGTGAATGTCTAGTTGTTTGTTACACAGTTCGGCTAAAACGGCTTAACCGAACTGGATGAAATTTCGCACGGAGATAATAATATCCTGAAAAATTATGTGAAACGTATGAAAATCTATAGGAGAAAACATAAACCCTTATATGAAAGACGCAAAATTGCGGACTTATCGTATTTGTTTAACATTATGAATTGCTCAATCCAAGTAACTGAGTTTGTGAACAAAATCGTACTGCGTGTACCATCTAGGCCTTTACGCAGATCGCACCTTCTGCACACTCCTACTATAAGCACAAACTACAGGGCAAATTCCTATTTAAAAAGGGCCGACCACATACATAACGTGGCATGTCAGAATGTAGATATCGATCTGTTTACCACCAGTGTTACATAAATGTTAAGGATCACGTTTAACCAGTTTTCAATTTTTTACGATTATTATGTTAGGTTACTTGTAAGTTGATCAAAAATTCATCAACATCAACAGCCTTTAATAGTCCACTGCTGGATATAAGCCTCTCCTTAGAAAGGAGGTTTTGGCCTACTATACCACGCTGGCCAGACGGGTTGGTATAGGGTTTGTGTCAACGAGCGGAACACACTCCCCCGTCGATGGCCTCCCTGGCCGGAGACGACGGGGAGCACGGGGAGGATAATGTTCCGCTCGTCCGGGATTCGGAGGTAGGGGCGGCTGTTCTACGGATCCGTTCCAAGAACACCGCCCCTGGGCCAGACGGGGTACCGGCCCGAGTGCTGGCCCTGGCCCTCAACCACATGGCAGACCGCCTCGGGGAGGTGTTCGACGCTAGCTTGGCGTCGGGACGCTTCCCTGAGTGCTGGAAGAGCGGGAAGCTGGTCCTATTGAGGAAGCCGGGACGGCCTGCCGATTCGGTCGCGGCCTATAGGCCCATCGTGCTGCTGGACGAGGCGGGCAAATTGTTTGAGAGGGTTCTTTCTGCCCGCATCGTCCGGCACCTCTGCGAGGTGGGCCCCGATCTGTCGGACGCCCAATTTGGTTTTCGGGCGGGGCGTTCGACAGTCGACGCCGTGTTGCGCCTGAGGGCCGTGACCGAAGAGGCCGTGAGCTGTGGCGGCGTGCTGTTGGCGGTGTCATTAGACATCGCCAACGCATTCAATAGTCTGCCATTCAGCTGCATCAGGGAAGCACTCCACTATCATGGGGTGCCAAAGTACCTGAGGCGGCTGGTGGCAGACTATTTAGAGGAGCGTACCGTCGTGTACGAGGAACGAGAAGGTAATCTGAGGTGTCGGCCCATGTCGTGCGGTGTTCCACAGGGGTCTGTTCTTGGACCCCTCTTGTGGAACATAGGGTACGACTGGGCCCTTCGCGCCGATTTCCCCCCCGGGCTGGGTGTAATCTGTTACGCAGACGATACCCTCGTGACAGCCCGGGGGGCAAACTTCCAAGAGGCGGCGCGCCTGGCCACAGGGGGAGTCTCCCTGGTGGTCGGGCGCATTGAGGCGCTGGGCTTACGGGTGGCCCTAGATAAGACGGAGGCCCTGTTATTTCATGGGCCCCGTCGTGGTCCACCCCCTGGCGCCTCAATAGTGGTCAACTCGGTCCTCGTACCGGTTCGGGCCCAGATGAAATATCTGGGCCTGATCCTCGACGGGAGGTGGCTCTTCGACGAGCACTTCCGACAGCTTGCTCCAAAGCTGGTCGGCGCTGCGTCTGCCCTAGGGCGACTTTTGCCCAATATGGGTGGACCCAGCGTCGCGACAAGACGGCTGTACACGGGGGTTGTCCGGTCAATGGCACTGTACGGTGCACCGGTGTGGGCGGCGGCTCTGTCCGCCCAGAATAGGGTACGCCTCTGGCGCCCTCAGAGGGTAATGGCGGTCAGAGCCATACGCGGTTACCGCACCGTGTCGACGGAGGTGGCATGCGCGTTGGCCTTAACTCCCCCGTGGGATTTGGAGGCGGAAGTGCTCGCCGAAGTTTATCTCCTTGGCTCCTCGGCTCGGCTCCTTGGCTGACTCCCGGGCGGAGAGCGGATTTCGCCCTCCGCCCGAGGATGTGCGCGAGTGGCGCGAAGCCGCTCACCGAGCCACGATGGCTCGTTGGTCGTTCCGGTTGGAGACTCCACGCGCTGGCTTCGCCGCCGTGGAGGCTCTCCAGCCGGTCATCGCCGAGTGGGCAGGGCGGCAGCACGGGACCCTTTCCTTCCGGCTGACGCAGGTGCTTTCCGGGCACGGTTGCTTCGGAAAGTACCTGCACACGGTCGCTAGGAGGGAACTGAGTCCCGCCTGCCACCACTGCGACTGCAGTGAGGACTCGGCCCAGCACACGCTGGCGGTCTGCCCCGCATGGGCGGCGCAGCGCCGGGCCCTCACTGCAGTCATCGGAGTGGATCTCTCGCTACCGGCCCTAGTACGCTCTATGGCCGGTAGCGACAGTTGTTTTACCGCGGTCGCAACCTTCTGCGAGGTAGTAATCTCGCGGAAGGAGGCGGCGGAGAGGGCCCGGGAGGACGACCTCCACTCGGACCCGATCCGCCGCCGGCGAACCGGGCGGCGGAGGCCCGCCTATCACAGCCTCATGCCGCCCTGAGTGTGGCCGCGGGTGGACGGGGTGGGTTTCCCCTCCACCCGCATTAGTTTGGCCAGCCGCGAGGGGGCGGCGTCCGCGTGTGCCGGACGTCGCCTAAAGAGAGGAAAACAAAAATATTGAGACGGAGCCCGCACCAGGAGCGGGCTGGCGCTAGGAGGGGTCCGGATGTCTTAACAACAGCTGTTCCCGGATCCCTCCTGTTGCAGGCGCAGAGTGGCACACCGTGTGGTTTTAGTCGGTCCGAGTCCGACACACCACCCCGCCGCAAACCCCGGAGGGGTGACGGTCCGAGGGGATTTCCACACGTTAAAAAAAAAAAAAAAAAAAGGGTTTGTGTCAAGTTTTCCTTCTCTCTGCAGTGCTGTTGTTCTGCGTAGTTTTTTCCCTTAGTCGGCTCTTACGACACCCACGGGATGAATAGGGGTGGTG